CTGCCCGAACTTGTCTGTGACGTGGCACGCCGGGCTCCTAGTATAAAGTTAGATCCTATTCAAAACATCATTGAGATTCAAAAGATAGGGATCCATCACTTACGGTTGCACCTGGCAATTGTTCAGATAGTGGCCATGAGTCTCTTTGCCACCCAGTACGCCGTTGAGAAGAGCTCGGCTGCCTTCCTCCGTGGAGCGGGCCATAACTCTCTCGAATACCTTGAAGCCCGCACTGTCTGCGTTCTCGCGGGCCAAGTCCGACTTGCAGAAGCTGGGGTTGGGTGTGTTGATAATGAAGTGCCCTGTTTCGCCTGACAAGGGTGCTCTCTTTGCGATTTCGCGGACGACGTAAAGCACCAGGAGTTTGGTGAGGGCATATCGGCCTCCCATGTTTGCGCTCTTCTCATCATTCAGGCGGTCCAAAATATTCCCATTTCCTGGCTGAAGCTCTCCAAGAGGAGCCATGTAATGCAAGGCGCTGTTGGGGACGGAGAATCGGCAAGGATTGCCAGTCTTTTTTGCGGACTCTCTCATCTTGGGAAGAAGCAGGAAGAAAAGAAGAAAAGTAGAGATGACATTCACATTCAGTGAACTTTCGCTACCTTCGCTCCAGGCAAGATTACCCGTCATAATACCCGCGTTGGCCAGAATGCCATCGACTCGGGGCAGGTCGGATGAAGCGCGAGCAGCAAAGGCTTTGATCGAGTCATAGTTGTCCATATCAATTGTCCAAACTTCAATTGATGACTCGGGCTGTTTGGTAGTAGCGAGAACTTTTAGTCGTGCCGCCTCGCCTTTGGCCTTGTTGCGGACGGCAATAATCAGTTTGCCAACACCAAGTTTTGAGAGGTGAAGACATGACTCGTACCCTAGACCACCATTACCACCAGTGACAACAAAGACTTGCTCCGAGAGATTGGCCTTTGAGCTGGGGACTGGGAGCTTGACGAGTAGGTTTGAGTACATGACCGCGCCTGTGCCCTCAAGTGCTGCGAGAATGGCCATCTTAATTGTATGAATTGAAGGTTTTGAAATTGGAACAGTTGTTGGAGAGGGAGTAGATATTGAGGAAGATGAGTGTAAGAAAATGTTGATAACTTGAATTGATGAGCCAACACGATTTCAATACAACAGAGACAGCTCCTTTATACCAAATATCTCATAGACTACACTCTCGACTTTCTTCAAGGATTTAATATATCCTCCTGTCACTGATAGCTCTCAGATTGATGTCATGATGATATTTGACGGCACTGGAACGGGGATATTGTTTGGCCCCACAGCGGCGTTAATATCTCCGCCCTCGCTTGTGTAAACTGTCAGCAGGTACAGGGCATCTATGTACTTTAGTGCGGATGTTGTATGCAAAAGAACTTGAAGGTCAGTGCTTACTTAGCAATCGGTACCCACACCAAAGATCCGCGTCTCTCCGCCTCAATCAGCTCAAGAGTCTTCTCCGTGCACATTCCAAGACATGCGAATCTCCTTGACCTTTCGCGAGCCCCGGATATTTTGCATTGTCTCTGCTCCAGATTTATTTAGCTCTGACCAGCGACTCAATTGCGATGGATTCCGGCTACAGAAAGGTGGAAAAGCGCAATCGACCGCCGGTCTCGTGTGAGCCGTGCCGCACCAGAAAGTCAGCTTGAGAATGCCATTTCCCGTGTCAGGCAGTGGACTAATTGCTAAATCCGCAGACTCAAGTGCAACCGTGAGCTGCCCTGCGACTCGTGTGTTAAGCGAAACAAGTCTTCACTGTGCCACTATGCGAGCAACGCAAACAGGACCAGGCCGACCCCCTCAGGGCCTCAGCGCGACCTCAAAGAGCGGCTACACACCCTCGAGGCGATGGTTTCGTCTTTTCTATCGGGAGACGCGGTCATTCAGACAGAGAGAGGCCGTGTGAATGATCCTATTCGAAGAGGCCCCTCCGCATCAGGGACTTTTCAAAACGTGACCCCTTCAGAGTCGAATTCAAGTCCCAGTCGTGCTGGCGGGGAAGAAAACACGTTGACTCCGGAGACACCGTATATGCACGAAACTGGCGATGGCCAGGTTGACTACATTGATCGCAACCACTGGCTGTCGATTCTGGAAGACATCAAAGAAGTTCGAGAACATTTGTCTGGGTCCAGTCACCCCTCGCCGTATGATGGCGGATCCCAGGAGCATGACCGGATAGAGCCCGACGCTGGCTTTCTATTTGGAGCGAATCCCAACGTGGATATAAGCGAGATACTTACGTCTCTGCCTCCGCAGCCTGTCTGTGATCGGCTTCTTTCGTTCTATTTCTCCACTCGCTTCCTTGTTGGAGGTAAGTCCTCCTTGATAACCACTTGTCTGGTAAATGCACAAAAGTTGACATGTCTTGTCCTGAAAGGAGTCGTTCACCCTGCAAAGTTTCAAAAAGAGGTGAGTACCTGTAGATTCCAGGAGTTGATTATATAGCTTGCTGAATTAGATGTTCCTAGTATGAAGCATTCTGGGATGCCCCAGAAAAAGCACCGCCCCTCTGGACCGGTCTTCTCTTCGGTCTTCTTGGTTTTGCGACATGTCTCAAAAATATTGCGAATATTGCGAAAGTTGGGGACGTGGATGAATCGATCCCCTCTACTAGGCTCATGCAGCAGCGGCTCATCCAGTGTCTTATCCTAGGAAAGTATGCAACTGCGAACTCCTTTGCACTCGAGGCGTTCTTGATCCATCTTCAGACGTCTTTCATCACAAGCGACCATGCACCTGTAAACTTGTGGTTTGAGATGGGAACTGTCATTCGCCTTGCCTTTCGGATGGGCTATCATCGCGATCCTGAACATCTCGCCGGGATCTCTGCCTTTGATGGCGAGATGCGGCGACGAGTCTGGCTAAATATATTCCAGATCGAGGCATTGATGTCGTTCCAGCTCGGCTTTCCGAGTATGATTCCGGGCGAGTTTTGTGACTCGAAAGTGCCTCGGAATCTGGATTATCCCGATCTTCGCATGGATATGAAGGAGTTGCCCCCAGGCCGTTCGTTTTCCGAGCACACCCCTGTCCTATACACAGTTGTGAAAGCCCCGGTCATGAATATGTTCAAGAAGATTGCGGCGCACACGCAAGCTCTTACAGTCCCATCTTACGAAAACACTCTGGCACTAGGCGCCGAGCTGAACCGGGTTTACGCAAGCATGCCGGATACGTTCCAGCGGCGAGATGTGAACCGTAGTTTCATGGACTCGTCCGCGTTGATTCTGCAACGCTGCACAATTGAGATTCTCTACCTCAAGGGTCTTGTGATACTTCATCGGCGCTATATAAGTTACGATCTCAACAGCCCCAAATACGCTCCATCACGAAGAGCATCCGTGGAAGCCGCCTTGAAGATTCTTGGCCGACAGGAAGATCTGCACAACGCTTCTGGGCCTGGAGGCCGATTGCATGATGATCGGTGGATGGTCCTGTCGTTGCCGATTCATGACTTCCTCCTCGCTGCTATGGTCTTGTGCCTGGACCTCTCTGTCCGGATGCGTTCACAATCGCCGGTGGTGGCGGGAGACCAGGATCTGACAACCCGAGAGTATAGAGCGTTGCAAGTATCTCAAGGCATATGGGCAGGGAATCGCTCGGCATCGCCGGAGACACATATTGCTGCTCTTGCTCTGGAGTTGATGATCAAGAAAGTGGCTAACAAGGGCGTCTATGGCTTTACGCCATCACCAGCCCCTATCGTTGACTCAGCAGCCCCTGATATCGACTTGGAGCTTCCATATGCTGAACCCATGTCGCATATGATTGATGGGTCGGAGAGTCTTGACTGGGTGAGTTTAAACAACGAGATAATAGCTCTTCGTTACTAACATTTCTAATAGGGTTTGTTGGATCAATATTTTCAAAATCTGGATAGCTTTAACCCCGACTTTAGTATGTGAGACGCCATTGAGCAATGAATCTACGTAAACTCTATACCTTCTATTGTATCTGAACACGAAGCATCATCCCCTTTGTGGCAATGTACCATTTCCCTAACGCGCTCGATGGAATCGATATTTCGTCTTCCAGCTTTTCCGCATTTATGACCAGAGCTTCTTTGTCGGCTCGGACGGTTTCCGCGTCTTCAGTAGCTAACCATTCCAAGTTGCATGATAAATCGCGCGCGGCTCTCTTTTCTGCCGGGCCTGTGGTGGAATACTCGATTTCCAATCCCACGGAGCCGCCCTTGTAGAATCTAGACGAGGTGTTTGCTTCCACATTTACCACTTGAGACGTCCCTTGTATAAGTCGGTTTGGGGCTGGGCTTGAAAGCTTCGCCCACCGCTCTGAGAACACCCGTGGGGGACCTTTGGGTGGAGGCCGTGGAGGGACTTGAGGAGGTTTCCCGGGAGGAACTACTGTCTTTCCCTCTTCCCCTCCCCCATCTCCGACTTCTGGGGGTTTCTCGGATGATATCAATCCCTTTTCGCCTCCTTGATGTGCGACTTCTTGAGGTTTCCCTGGTAATACTGAAGTTCCATTTTCTCTATGCCTTCCCTGATCTGCGACTTCTTCGATTTTCCCGGGCAGCACTGAAGTTCCATTTTCTCCATGCTTTCCCTGATCTGCGGCCTCTTCGGTTTTCTCGGGCAGTACTGAATCTCCACTTTCTTTGTATTCTTCCTGATCTACGACTTGTTCAGGTTTTGCGGGCGACACCGAATCTTCCGTTTCTGCATACTCTCTCTGATCTGCGACTTCTTCAGGTTTTGCGGGCAGTACTAAATCTTCCGTTTCTCTATGTTCTCCCTGATCTGTGACTTCTTCAGGTTTCTCAGGTAGTACTGCATTTTCTGTTTCTCTATGTTCTCCCTGATCTGTGACCTCTTCAGGTTTCTCAGGTAGGACTGAATTTGCTGTTTTTCCATTCTCTCCCTGATCTACGACGTCTTGGGGTTGCGAAGCCATTTCGTCTTGAGCATTCGCTACCTTTGCGATGGACGGAGAGGGAGAAGAAGTTATTGACAAGCGGACTGCAGAAGCTTCAACTTCTACAGGGTCGTGTCGAGGATCTGGCTGGGGCACTTCTGGCTCAGCTGGGCTACTGTTGCGATCGTCTTTTGCATCGACAGTAGTCTCAGATATTGTGACTGTTAGAGCGGTACTTTCAGTCGGATCCTTATGATTTGTCCGTCTCTTGTTTTGTATCAACGTTCTGATAGAGTCGCTAATAACCTCCTCGAGATGTTTTGCAAATCGACTCTGTATGCTGTCGGACTCAAGAGACCGAGGCAACTGCCAATGTGGATAGAGCTTCCCATGTTGGCGCGGGATGTGATACTTCCCATGTACCTTGATTAACGCATCGCAAAGAAAACACGCGTCCTTGCTAGAAGAGATGACCCGAGGAGGTGGTTTGAACTCGCTCTCTTCGCAGAAGAATACAAGTTGTACTTCTGCGTGAATCTTGACTCCATTGAGGATTTCCATTTTCTGTTTTCTGAAGAGTTTATTTATTCTCTCCTGAGTATTCATTGTGTTGGGATGTCGGGTCTGGCATCTTGCATTGTTGCTTGACTTTTTACTCGATTTCTTTTTCGTTTTGAGATACGTATAGCATAATTTCATTTCTTCGCGCTCGCTTTCCGACAACGTTGTTCTACACAAGGCTTCCGATATCCCCCGCCCTGGTGCTCGCATTGTCTCTGGTACTTTTTCGAACTCGTCGTCTGAAAGAATGACCGGGACCAAGTTCATTCTCCGCGCAATTGGGAACTTCTTGGCTGTCCTGTAAAGGACCCTAGCGGCATTTCTGTATCTGCCAACTTTCTTAATAGTATTTAAAAGGCTCGTTCTCGCAGTTGGTTCCATCTCTTGGTTGGAGATGCCATCCAGGACGCTCTCCATATCCGTCAATTGCGAGAGTTTGTCGGCGCTTTCGACAACTTGAGCCAGCCCGGAAGTGGTGTTATTCTCCCTCCATTGGCCTATCATGTCAAACCAATCCTGGGCTGCGCAGACGAATTCGGTCGATTTTTCGGCGAGACTATCGATGGACTTCTTGATGTGTCTTTCCATGGAGCTCTTTTCTTTTCGCTTATCTTTTGGGCTGGCCAATCTTAAACGCTCAAGTATTCGAGTGGTACACATTGAAACTATCTCAGCGAAGATGTCTTGTTCTGCATTGCCGGCTGGCCAAGAGGAAATAGCATGTCAGCCGGGAAAGGGATGAGTCTTTGCAAATCCGTTCGGCGGAGAAGATCTTACATGTAGGGACTGAGGGTAATAGCTTGAAGAGGCTTTGGAATTTCTCCTGAATCTCGTGGATATCACGGTTGTCAGCATCATTAGATGATTTATGAGCATCATTAGATGTGTGATCAGCATCATTGGATGCGTTATGGGCATCATGGGCTGCGTTATTAGCATTCTTGGATGCGTTAACGGCATTCTTGGACGCGTTGATGGGATCCTTAGACGCCTCATCGGGGTTCTTGGGCGCGTTAACGGCTAAGAGAATGTCTAATTGGTTTTCAGCTTTGTTCTCTCTAATGCACAGAGCGGGGACGCGTTCGGTATCGTTCTTGATGCAAGAGATATAAGCGAGCATAATAGTAAGAGCTCTTTCTTTCTCAAATGGAAGGCTATATTCTGTTGGGTCATGACCGATGGGAAGTGTGACTGGATTAGATTCTGGCGGTACAGCGACTTTGTGCAGAAGATGAAGAATCGAAATGTTCTCTGCTATATTCTCTGCTATATAGTCTGCTGTATTGTATACTGTGTTCTCTGTTGTGTTCTTTAGTGTGTTCTTTGGTGTGCTCTCTGTTGTGTTCTCTGCCGTATCTCCTGCCGTATTGCCTGCCGTATTGCCTGCTGTATTCTCTGCATCTGCTGTTGATTGCATTGTGATTAAAAGGATTCAAAGACTGGCTTTGTATACTGAGTGGTTATACGACAAGACCGAGAGACTGTGTTTGATTGAAATTTCTCACGATGAGAGGGCAGGAGTTTCATATCTTGCCAACGCATCTTCACTTTGATGCGTTGACTTGGGGTTGGCCTCCTGCATATACCGCACGTGATTCAACCTCAGTTGGTCGAATAGGCCGTTGGGTGGCTGCATAAGTGATCACCAATCGTCGTTGGTTACCGCGGGGTAAAATGCACTCGCTAAAGATTGGTAGTATGGTAATGCAATCGTCCAAGTTAATATGATGTGTGTGTTGCTGGGGACGAGAGCTGACGCGAGCGCTCTGTAGGTAGAGTAGACGTGGTCTAGCAGCGATACTTGAATCGATATATTTCTATTTCCTTTATTCTATGCTTCCGTAGGCACCGCCGCCCGGCGTATTAATCTGAATATATTCCCCCTCCTTTAGATTCATTACAGCCTTTCCTCCAAGATTCACCCTTTCCAAAACATCATTGTCGTTGTACACAAATGCGTAGTTGGCACCGGACTGCCCAGGACCACCGCCAGCCATGCCATAAGGACGGTACACGCGACGATCACTTAGGATACTGAACTTGAGGGGGATCCGGGCCTGGATCTCCCTCGTGATGCCGTCGCCGCCGCGCCATTTACCGACACCACCGCTCCCACGGCGGATTCCGTAGGAGCGGACCAACACTGCCGTGCGCTTCTCGATGACCTCTGCATCCGTTTGACGCGTGTTGGTGGAGTGAACCTATAAGATCGTTAGTTTTTATCAAAGACTTCAATCGGGAAAATCCAAATCTTACATGAGTGGAATGTTCGCCATGGTAGTTCTCACTGGCACCAACACCGCCGCCGATACTCTCGCCATAGTTCCACCCCTTGACAATCTGCCCCGTCAGAGGATCCTTCCCGCCCATCCCCCAGCCGAAACTGTTCGCGCAGCCCTGGCTGGCGGCATGCCTGCCAAAGGCGCGCAGGATCACGTCGATGACACGCTGGCTGGCGAGCGTGCTCCCGCAGATGGCGACCTTGGGGGTCGGGTTCAGGACGGACCCCTCGGGGACCCTGATGTCGACGGGCTTCAGGCAGCCCTCGTTGAGCGGGATCTCCACGTCCACGAGGCAGCGGATGGTGTAGATGATGGCCGAGTGGCAGATGCTGATGGGGCAGTTGTAGTTCCCCCACATCTGGGGCCCCGACCCGGAGAAGTCGTATGTCGCGGAGCCGGTCTCCGGGTCGATGCTGATGCGCACCTGCATGGCGGTGCCGTCGTCAAGGTGGTCCACGGCCTGGAAGGGCTCCGGGTGGCTGGCGACGAGGGTCTTGAAGAACGAGCGGACGGCCAGCTCTGCGTTGTCCTGGATGCTGTTCATGTACTTATGTACGACTGGCAGGGTGGCTTCGTCGCACAGCTTGCCAAGGAGGGTGATGCCCCGTTGATTCGCCGCCGTCTGGGCCTTGAGGTCGGAGATGTTGTCGGCGATGCGGCGCGTCGGGCTGCAGCCGGGGAAGTCTCCCGCCTTGTTGAACGCGGCGCGGACCTCGTCTTCCAGGAACTCGCCCGCGGACACGATCTTCATCGTGGGGACGTTGAGACCTTCCTCCCAGAGCTCCTTGGTTTCGGGAGCCATGCTGGTGATTCCCTTGCCTCCAATGTCGGTGTGGTGGCCTCTCGAAGCGACATAGAAGGCGATGGCACCGTCGATGAAGACAGGAGTGACGACGGTAAGATCGGGGAGATGGGTGCCTCCCCACTGGGGGTGGTTAGTCAAGAACACATCGCCGGGCTGCACCTTGCCTGCCCAGTGACGATGTTGCGCTTGAATGGCGAACTGCATGGATCCCAGGTGGATAGGGATGTGCGGTGCGTTGGCGACTAGTGTTCCCTCTGGCGAGAAGATGGCGCAGGAGAAGTCGAGGCGTTCCTTGATAGATGTCGAGATAGAAGTACGCTGTAAAGTATTGCCCATTTGCTCGGCAATGGCCATGAACCGGTGGGCAAAGACGGAGAGGAGAATGGGATCTACCGTAGCAGAGCTGCCAGCGGCAAGAGCAAGACTGGATGATAACGTGGTGGCATGTCCTTCAGCGGACTCCTTTTCTGCTGCCGTGGAGTTCTTTTCTAGGAGGATGTGGGAAGTAAGGATGTTGGCATGGAAGCTAGGGGATACGAAGATGGTTTGCGTGTCGTCGATGACAAGAGCAGGGCCGTTGATCTTGGAGCCACTGGGTACATCATCTAGTCTGAAGATTCCCGTTTCTTGCCACGATCCGTTGATGTATACCTGCTTAGTGTCCCTGGGGGCAGTTGTCGAGGCTTGACCGCGAGCCGCGAGATCCTTGAAGGCCGAGATCTCCTCCACCTTGGGGACAGAGCTGCCGGTTCCACGGACCTTGATCGATTCGACGACGATGTCACGGCCCATGGAGAAGCCGAACTCCCGGAGGTGCTCTGCCTCGAACACCTGCGCGTAGCTCTTGCCATCGGCCGGTTGAGAAATCGTCAAATCGGTGTTTGTTCCGAAATATCGAAGGACCAGACTCTGATCATAGACCAGAGAGTCGGACAGCGCTCCTTGAGACTGGAGTTGGCTCGCAACTTCCTGCTTCAATATACCCAGGCGCCGGTCTACGTGTGACAGAGCCCCCCCGTCGAGCTTGGAGCCGAAGGGCTCGAGAACCTCGTGCTGCAGGTCGGCCTGGGCGATGCCGCTTGCAGAGAGGAGAGAGGACCACTTATGGATGAGAATGCGCTGGATGCCAAGCTTGTCCGCGATATCACAGGCGTGCTGGCCGCCGGCACCGCCAAAGCTGACAAGATGGTGGTTCTCAGGCGCGAAGCCTCTTGCTTCGGTTGCGTTGCGGATCGGTCTGCTCATCGTTTCGTTGGCGATGTCTAAGAACCCAAGAGCGACTTGCTCAGAGGTCAGGCTCTGGTTCGTCTGCTGGTTGAAATCGGCCGTGATCTCCGCCATCTTCTCCTGCACGATCTCGAGATCCAGAGGCTCGTTGGCATCAGGACCAAAAATGGAAGGAAACGACGAGAGCACCAGCCGCCCGAGGAACAGATTCGCGTCTGTGACTGTGAGGGGACCTCCTTTACGATAGCAGGCCGGCCCAGGATGTGCGCCGGCACTCTCGGGCCCCACGGCAAGGAGACCATTGCGAGCAAACAGGATGGAGCCGCCGCCTGCTGCGACGGTTGCAATGTTGAGCATCGGCACTGTGATGGTCTGCCCAGCGATGGAGGTCTCGCTCAGATAGTCATACTTGCCGTCGTAGCGGGAGACGTCGGTGCTCGTGCCGCCCATGTCGAAACCGATGACGGGCGTTCCCTCGTCCGGGTCGTAACATGAGCGAGCGATTCCTACCACACCGCCGGCAGGACCGCTGACGAGGGCCTCGTTGCCCCTGAATCGGGTGGCAGTCTTCAACCCGCCGTCTGAGCACATGAAGTCCACCCGACGAGGCAGATTCTGGAACCCATCCGTGAAGCCCTCGACATAACGCTTGATGACGGGATACAGGTAGGCCTCGGAACACGTCGAGGTGCTGCGATTGAGGAATTTGATGGAGGGGCTGGTCCGGGCCGACGTGGTGATGAACTCGAACCCAACCTCCCTGGCGATGTCGGCGACGAGATTCTCGTGCGCGGGGTGGAGGTAGGCGTGCAGAAAGCAGACGGCCAGGGAGGTGTAGCCGTCCGCGCGCAGAGCCTGGAGCCTGGCCCGGACGTCTGCGGGATCTGGCCTGCGGAGGATGCGGATGTAGTCGCCGCTGACGGTGCGGACGAGGTCATCCGGCCTGGCCTCGGACTCGGCGGCGAGGACCTGCTTGTCGTAAGGGGCTGGGTTGAGGTCGTAGTCGGCGGGGACGATGCGCTCGTCGACCTCGACCACGGCCGAGTGAAGCGGCCTGGGCTTGCGGATCTTGAGGTTGAAGAGCTCCGGGCGGGACTGGTCGCCGATTGTGCAGACGTCCTTGAAGCCCTTTGTGGTGATGAAGGCGAAGCGCTCGCCCTTGTGCTGGAGCAGCGCGTTGGTGGCCACGGTGGTGCCAATGCGGCATGAAGCTGGGCAAGATCAGTATCGAGGCCAGACTTTCTCAAGAAGCAGACGCACCTATTCTCGACCCATCCAGCTTCTGGCCCACGGGGATGGATTTGCCCTCGACCTTCTCCAGGACGCGGCGGATGGCTTCTGTGGGCGCATCTGGATAGTTGGAGGGATCCTCGGAGAGCAGCTTGAAGACGATGGGCTCGTGGCCCTCGACCTGGGCAATGACATCGCAAAAGGTGCCGCCGCGGTCAATGGCGACGCTGATATCAGCCGTCATCTTGGAGTTTTATCCTTCTTTTGCCGATTGTGAAGATCAGCTCAGTTCATCAACTCGACACTCATCTGAGACTGAGGCTTACGGTCGAACAAACATGCAATGCCAGGAGATAATTCGTCGGTGAAGTCCGAATGATTTTGAATTCTTGGCAACTTGCCCCGACACTAGGATCACGGCGTTTTCGATGGTCTGCCGGTTTGCGTGAGGCCTTGGTTTTCCCCCAAAGCAGCATTTTTCGTCGGGCTGCTCGTCGGGCTGCTCGTCGGGCTGCGCCCGATCAAGAATCTGTCGTCTTCCCCCCGATGAGCGGCCCCAGCGCGATTTAACAGGAGAGAGGGCGAATTGCGTGCTTTGGGCTATTGAAAAGATAACGCTTGTCGGGCTCTCCCCGACGCTTCTCCACCAGCCCGAGTCAAGCTCAATGGGCTCATCCTGTATCAATCCCGTTGGTGCTTGTCTGACTCCTGGTTAGATACTCGATAAGTCTGTTGCTATCTCCAAACAGGCTGTGGCACAAGCGCATACGTTGATTGAATGATTATTGATGTTTGATGTTGATCTACCAAGATGAATGAATGCTGATGCTCATCGTCTAAACAGGCCGCCTAATTCCTCTCCTCAGTGTAATGAAATCCCAATTGCTCCAGTGTGCGAATCTCCCTGCGCTTCTCCCCCAACTTCCTCGCCGCGGCCTTGATGAGGGGAGTCTGCTGCCGCAGCCACCTCTTATACGCATCCCAGTACGGGGGGATCTTGCCTCGCCCCCCATTATCCAACCCGGGCCTCGTCTCTGCCTTCTCGCTGAAGCCATGTAGAAGATTTATGTAGTCGACATCCTGCGGGAAGGGCATCACGTGGAACGACTTCTCCTGCCCCTCCTTCTCCCTGCGCTTCGCGGCCTCCCACTCCCGCATCTCCTCCTCGGCGGGCAGCTTCGCCCGGCCGGCCCAGACGCGCGCCATCCACCCGACCTGCGTCTCGGTGAAGGGGAAGGGGATGATGCGCTGCGGGATGCCCACGATGGCCAGGGTCGGCTCGTTGATGTACACCAGGTGCTGGTACAGGTTGCGCGCGTAGGACCCGTCGGTGACGATGGGCGGCGAGAGGCCGCGCAGGAAGGGGAAGCTGTAGTGGTAGCCCGTGCAGAAGACGACGACGTCGACGTCCTCCTCGACGTGGCCGTTGGCGAACCGCACCCTGCGTCCCTCGGGGGTCAGTTCGGCAATCTCGGGGACCTGCTTGGACCAGCCGGATTGCTCGTCGCCGCCCGTGACCTGGGGCGACCGCTCGGAGATGATGACGGGGAGCTTGCTGACGGTTTGGATCTGCGCGCTCAGGTCGATTCCGGAGGCAGAGTTCCCGACGACGATGACCTTCTTCCCGGCGTAGTCGTTGGGGTTGCGGTAGAACTTGGAGTGCGATATGGCCCCGGGGTATGCTTTATCGAACTCGGCCAGGCCAGGGATGTCTGGGATGTACGGGTCGTTGTAGTGGCCGCTCGCAACGAGGACGGCATCAAACCGCGTCTTTTGCTGCGTCCTTGTCTTCAGGTCCACCGTCTCAATCTCCCAGTGCTTCTCGTCGCCGTCCTGGACCCTGTCGATGGTGAGTACCTGGGTAGAGAATGATACGTGCTGCTTGACCTCCTCCCCGTACTCCTCCAGGTACTTCTTGACTGCTTGATGCGGGGGGAAGAGATTCGATCCGGCAGGGAAGGGCGTGTCGCCGAAGCACATGAGCGTGTGCGGGATGTTGGTCTCCAGCGTGTCGTACACGGCCGAGACGAATTGAGGTGCAGACTTATCCGCGACCTGGACGGGGACATCTGCGTCTTTCGAGGGCCTTGTCCTCGGAATGGCGAATTCATTGTCTTCGCGGGTGAGGGTGTTGTACGCCCAGACTCCGCCCACGGTGTCCCTCTGCTCATACGCCTGGATGAAGGAGAATGTCTTTTCTGCTAGTAGATATCTATAGCCACGAGTGTTAATCCAAATGCTTTGCGTCACTGAAATGTGTCGATTATGATACCATCACGTACTTGAGAGCGGCGAGGCCACACGGCCCGGCACCGATAACGGCCACGCGAGAGACGGCCATTGCATTTGCTTGTCTTCTCTGCTCTCTGCTGGCCATGGGACCGAGTAATAATAAATATCTACAGCCACCGGCGCTGAATGATCCCGAACCTGCAATCAGGCGATTTCCCACACTCGCTCTCACGGGCTTCACACGGTCCAGGAGTCATGCGACCCGAAGACCGTGGGAAGGCCGCCGGTCGGGATGTGCGCGAAATATGCGTAATTACTCGACTTAGTGGCACCAGCGGAGGATCCCGGCCAGGAGAACGATGTACCAATAGCAGCTGCTCGATGGCGTGCTCGATAGCCCAGAGTGACAGACAGACCCGCTGGCGAGCATCAAGGCCCTCCCCCGTTTGAAGGAATTCCCGTGAGTCGTCCTCATCCCGACCCGATGCGATGCGTCTTGCCCGATCCTTTCATCGAGACAGACTATTATGCCGCCGGACCAGCTGGCATCCAGTGTGCACCGCTTTCGAGTCCGCCAGCCTGCTGCGAGGGCATCCCGGCGGTCAGCCTCGCCTCCTCTGCGGCGGGAATCGTCCTCTCACGCCCTGCAGTCGCCATCTACTACCAATGGCGGTGGAGGCAATGGAGGTCATCAGCTCACGCCGGCCCCATCGTCGTCGTCGCGCCGCCCATCGTCAGGTCCTGGGCTGAGCCGGTCGAGCGCAGCATCAGCAGCAGCAGCGTCCTCGCCCAGATCTCAGGGAAAGGAGAGGACGCCGGCCTGCGACCGCTGCCGCAGCTTCAAGAAGAAGTGCAGCAGGACGTTCCCCGTCTGCAGCCTGTGCGCGAGCGCCGGGCACACGTGCTCCTTCTCGACGCCGGCCACGTCTCCCGGCGCGCAGACTCTGCACCTGCGGGCGCGCATCGAGTGGCTGACCAGCTTCATCAACAACAATGTCTACGTCCCCGGCCTCGAGGGCGTCCAGTCCATCGACACGGGCACCGACCTCGACTCGCTGCTGGGGGGTGCCGTGAGCCCGTACGGCAGCGACAAGGCGGCGGCGTCGGCGTCCATCAACGCGTCTTCAAATGCAGCAGCGGGCAAAGGTAACGGTGGTGGCAGTCGCCCCGAGGGTATCGCTCGCGGCGAGATGGCGCCGTTCCCAAAGACGCAGCCACATCATCACGAGAAGGGCAGCATGCCGGCGCCTGGCCTGCCTCATGACCGGACCCCGAGCCTCGTGGCGACGGTCAACTCGGACTCGCCTGTCTCGTGCCACAGCCGCGGGCAGATGACCATGGACGGCTCGCCAAACAACAGCATCGCGACGCCCGGGGCCATGGAGCTGATGGCGCACGGCGAGATGGACCACTCCAACCTCACCGTGCTGGCGCAGGACACTCTGGCCCGCCGGCTGGTGGGCGCGTACTTCCGCAACATCCACAAGGCGTACCCCTTCATCAACAAGGCCAAGCTGCTGCGCAACGCCGACGTCATCGGCACCCTGGCCAGGAAGCGCGCCGGCGCCGATTCCACGCTGCTGTACCTCGTCATGGCCCTCGGCTGCACCACGCTGCAGAGGGCCGGCCAGATCCCCCAGGACGTGTCCTCGACCTTCCACATCTCGTACGCCGACATCATCCAGGAGTGCCTCACCAGGCAGGACGAGGTCGAGGCGCTGCAGATCCTCGTCCTGCTGGCCCTGTACGCCCTCTTCGACCCCAAGGGCACGTCGACCTGGTCCATCACCGGCCTCGCCGCCCGCCAGGCCATGCTGGCCGGTCTGAGCCGCAAGGAGCCCGAGGAGAAGGTCCAGGCGTCCTCGGCCATGGACATCGAGTTCCGGTACCGTCTGTTCTGGAGCATCTTCGTGCTCGACCGGATGGTGGCCATATCGCTGGGCATCCAGGTCGCGCTGGTCGACGAGAACATGGATGTCCCGCTCCCCGGGCTGACCATTGACGAGTTCGCCTCTCCGGAGCGCCAGCAGTATGCGTCCATGCTCCAGACCAACCGCCATGTCATACATCTTCGGCAGCTGGAGGACCGGATCCTCCAGCAGATCCACACCAGGAAAGAGTCCGAGGTCGCCGCCTTGTCCCAGGCAGACCGGCAGGCCATTGCCAAGGAGATCAAGTCCGAGGTAGAGAACTGGTACAGCAACGGGTGTCTGGCGTCGCCTCTCGAGACGGACAATGTGCCCATCCACAGCTCCGTGACATGGCTGAGCGCGAGGTACTACCATCTGCTGCTCCTGCTGCACTACCCGTGCCATTTCAACTCCAGCGGCTCCATCATCTCGCCGGCAGAGCTCTTCAGGTTGGCCCAGAAGCACCTGCAGTCGACCTCTGTGCTCCTCCAGCAGCGGCAGCTACCTCTCAACCGCGTCACGCTATGCCGCATCTTCCCCGTCGGTCTGATCCTGCTGCACTGCTTTCTCTCATGTCCCGTCGACTGTGTCTCATACTCGGCCAGGGACGACGTCGCCGTCATCGTCAGCATACTGGAAGCCTTCCCCGAGGGCTGGCTACACGCTCGCCAGGCCGTCCAGATCTTCAGACGTCTGATGAACCTCGTCTCCTCCAAGGGCTCCTCCACAGCAGGCTTCATAAACGTCACAACGGGATACTACGAGACCGGGCTCAAGGCCATCATCGACGAGTTCCTGGCTCTCATGCGACAGGTTCTCGGCCGGTCTACCTGCTACGCACTGTACAAATTCCCAGACGATGCCGGTGCTCAGGAATCCTCTTCCTCAACGACGGCCTCGGGGATGAACGGTGCCAATGGCCAGACGCTCAGCTCGCTGCCTGTCGGGCCGGCGATGCACGTGTCCGGCGCGACGAGCATGCCTAATGATGAGTACGGCTGGACCAACTTGGAGTTGGGCTTTTTATAACTAGTATTATGTGTGTATACAGCGTGTCTTTCTCGTGTTTATTATGATTAGATTCCTAAATGGCTACGTATCTTGGGCAAAACCACCTCTGGCTTCTCCGCGTGCACACCGTGATTCGCACCTTCAACCGTGAATAGCTCTGCCCCGGGGACTTTCTCGGCAATCAGCTGGGAATTTTCTACATCCATCATCGTCAGCAGGTCCTCCTCCGGCTTGATTAATTGGACAACGAACCTGGCGGGCAAATCCAGTCCCTTGCCCCCACCACGACGAGCGTCTTGGCGGTGATCTCTGATAAGCGATCAGTGTAATCGAAATATTTCTCTTGCTCCGAGTAGAGGTCATCTAATTAGACGATTGATTAGAAAAGCCAACGTGCTGGGGGGGGGGTTAATTCTCTTCTCACTGTGCGACTCTGCCACATATTCAATATCCAGAGCACTCTTCAAGCCGGCGTCCGCGTCATACGTTTCTTTATAAAGCGGCAGCATGGCGAAATAGACCAGCTGGAACTCGCGGTCGCTCTCATACGCCCCAAATACCTTGTTCCTCAGCATGTTGACCGAGAAGCCGGGAACCTTGCTCACCCGCTCCTCGAGCGTCTTTACGGCCCCAGCCTCATCTGCACACTAGTCAGTGATAACTTTCGCAGGCAGATTTTCCAAGGGCTTACGATGGTGCGAGGGCGCAGTTCCCCGGAGGATCAGATGCGACACGCGCGACGCATATTTGATGGCGTAGTGCTGCGCCAGGAAGCCGCCGAAACTCCCACCGCAGATGATGGCCTGCTCGTCGCCGAGGAAGTGACGCCTGATGCCTTCGATGTCGTCGACAATCTGGTCAAACGTGTATGGTTTTGTCCTGGAGCTCTTCCCGTGGCCTCGGTAGTCGAATGAGAGGACGCGGATCTTGTCGCTGAGCTGGCTGTACACCTTGAAATCTGACCTGTGGTCGCCTACTCTCATCAATAAATGAACAATGGATGAGGGCGTAGATCACCACGAACCGAAGCCACGGCCGCCGTGGAGGGTGATCATCAAGGGGGCATCTTCGGGCCCGGCCAGACGGTAGGCGAGGCGAGCGCCGTTGATTTCCACGAATTCCACCATTGTGATCTGTTGAAATCAATGGCTCAGCCTATCTCAGCCTATCTATCGTGTGTATAAACCACGAACAGGCCACTCGCTCACGCACTTTCCAAGAGAAAGACGCTATGCGGAAGATCCCGAGCCAGCCCAGCCCGCGAGTCAAACCAACAGGCTCGCGTAGCACTGGCCGGCCTCTCCCCGCCATCGCAACAGATTACACCATGGGTCGGGGTCTAGCGCGTCGGGGAGCGTCCGACACGAATTGCCTCATGCAGTAACCGGCAGTTGGCCGAAGCATGCTGCCGGCAGTCGCCCATTGGCTGGAGACAAGATGGTATCATCGCCCCAGCAAAGGGCGTTATCGGGGAGACGCTTAAAGTGGCTCGCATAGAGGTTCGTCTGGTGTTAAAGGGACCGGCCGCTAGCGAGTGGGAAATCTCTTCCTGGGCTGGAGCAGTTGACGGCTTCGTGCATTGAAATACTGCGCGAGGATCCCCGTATATATCCCGTTTGAAGCATCAGTTTAATCAACTGCCTTTGTTCTTCAGCGTCCTTTGGTTTGCTCCTGTGGTCCTGTCCTGCTTCTTTGTATATCCAACTACACCAAGCCAGGCCCCATCACCGCCATGGCCACTCAAACCGACACGGTCAAGGCCGCTGCGCCGGATACCATTGAGATCCAGAGCAAGGAGAAGGATGCGACGTCCGTAACGTCAGCTACTGGCAAACCCGCAGCCCCACAGGCAGAGCCCGTGTCCGGGTGGTTTCACTGGCACGAGCCTGGGACTTCGAAGGAGGAGAAGAAGCTAATCTTCAAGCTGGACTGGTTCCTGCTCAGCTGGAGCTGTCTCATGTTCTTCGTCAAACAGGTAATTCACCCAGACCCTTCCCACTCCCGATGAGATCTGACATAGAACAAATCCAGCTTGACCAAAACAACATCTCTAATGCCTATGTCTCAGGCATGTCCGAGGAGCTCAAGTTCGGCCCGGGTAACGAGCTCTCATGGATGAACACGTACTTCAGCATTGGTACCATTATCGGTGGCTCCTTCGCCAACCTGATCATCACCGTTGTTCGTCCCCGGTACTGGCTGTGCGGATGCCTCATGACCTGGTCCATCTTCGTCTTGTTCCTGTACAAGTGCAACACCGCCTCCCAATTCTATGCTCTGCGGTTCTTCATCGGCCTTTTCGAGTCGGCTGCCTGGCCCGGCGTCATGTACTGCATTGGGTGCTGGTACCGCAAGAGTGAGCTGTCCCGACGATCAGGCCTCTTCGTCATGAGCGGTGTTCTGGGCCAGATGTTCTCGGGATACTTGCAGTCTGCCCTGTACACTGGCATGGAAGGCAGGGGTGGACTGTCCGCTTGGCGCTGGCTCTTCATCTTCGATTTCATCATCGCCATTCCCGTCGTTGTCTACGGTCTTGTAAGTTTGATATGCTACGAAATATCAGAAGAGAGTTCGCTGACCATCCTTCACAGATCTGCTTCCCTGACACTCCTCACACCACCACCGCCTGGTACCTGAACGACTGGGAGAAGCAGCGCTGCCGCGAGCGCATCGAGGAGGAGGGCCGCAAGCCCGTCGGCAAGCTCGACTGGACCATCATCCGCCGCATCTTCGGCTCCTGGCAGGTCTACGCCTTCACCCTCGGCTACTCCTTCTGGACCCTCACCTGCGGCTCCTACATCATCCAGTACTTCACCCTCTACCTCAAGTCCACCAAGCTCTACACCGTCCCCGAGATCAACAACATCCCCACCTCGGTCGGCGCCGTCAACTTTTTCTTCATGGTCACCACCGGCTACGCCTCCGACAAGATCGGCAGCCGCGCCCCCGTCTGCTTCGCCGTCGGCTCCCTCCTCACCTTTGTCTACGCCGTCCTCACCGCGTGGGCCGTGCCCCACACCCTCCGCCTGGCCGTCTTCATCCTCGCGGGCTGCTACGGCTGCTACACGCCCCTCCTGGCCGGGTGGACCAACGAGGCCTGCGGCGGCGACCAGCAGAAGCGCGCCTTCGTCCTCGGCTTCATGGTGTCCGTCGGCCAGGCCGTCGTCATCCCCTTCCAGCAGCTGCAGATGCCCAGCAGCCAGGCGCCCCAGTTCGTCGCTACCCACGGATGGGGCAGCGCGCTGTCTTGGGTTGTGGCCCTGACTGTCTGGACTGGGGTTGGTATCCCTCTCCTTCAGAGGTGGAGGCAGTCCAAGTCCAAGGTCAGCTCTGTCGAGGAGAATGTGGAGGAGTCTCTCTAGATGGATATCTAGGTTTCAAAGCGGCAACGTCTAGGGCTAAGCCCGAAGTAATAATCATTATATACCCTTATCTAGCTAAATTGACATTAGTTTAATTGATTTGAAGTATGCTTATGGAAATCATCTCGTGAGAAGCAGGCCTGAGAGTTGACCTCAGCTACGTAAATGAACACTCGTTATTAGAAATCCCGAATCAGGAAGTCTTATCTGCAAATGGTACTATTCTATCTATTTCATAGGAGACTTCATTCATATTATGAGTCTAGAAGCTACGAGATATGTGGAGGACTATGATGACAGTTCTCAAGTGTTTTCATATTTCAAACTAAGCCCCGTCCTTTGATTTCTACCTCTAGGATAATATTCGCCATCATCCTGGCGCTAATTACTTTCATCCTTTCAAACTTCTCCGAAGATGTAGAGCAGCTCATTGGTAATCTGCGGCAGCTGGAGGAGCCATTTTGAAGCCTCATGTGACGTCGCTTTCTACCCCTCACAGATACATGTACATAGAACATGCAGATAATTACTTGATTCTTCCATAGCCAAGAAACCTGTTCCGCTACTTGGCACATACCTAACCAGAAGAGCTGACAAGGATCAGAAGCTTATCGGCCCTAATGTTCCGATGAGGGGAAGCCAACCCTGATGCCCGTCCAGATCTGCACCGTAACTGAAGGCAAATGCACCGAGGCACGGCTCTTCCCCAAAAGGTTTGTGGAGATTCTCATGCGTTGCAATCAGGCACAATGTCCAGCAGATCACAATCCCCCCGCCGGTTGTAGTCCTTCCGATGTAACCATCTGGTTCCGGTAAAAACGTCTCACGGGCCTCACCTCCGGGAACAAGTCATTCGAGCGCTTTTTGGCGAAATGAGTATCATGCAGTCGTCGGCTTGGCCTACATCACCTCATGTCCAAGGTTGGTCCTGCAAGGGAAGGGGCTTAAGGCAGCCAAGAAGAGTATCGCCGGAAGAGTTGGCCCTGTGCAGGTATAATAGGTGATGGGATGCCTCACCTTAATTTGTTCTGTAGCAACCCGGCACATGACGAGCCATCACATCACTTGTCTAGAAGCTTCAAAGCAACGTCGAGCAGTTGATCATGTACTACTCATATGTGGCGGCATTGGCCATGGCGGTCCTGCCTTTGGTGACTGGTATGGGACCACTGAGCAATGCTTCTTAGACCCGAGAAACACTGAGTATCTGATTTGCTAACACATATCTGACTTCTAGCCGAGCTTAGCTGGGAAGAGGCATATATAAAGGCACGAGCAGCTGTTGCCAAGATCACGACATCGGACAAAGTTGGCATCGTAACTGGAGTTGGCTGGAACAAGGGCCCATGCGTGGGAAACACGTATCCCGTCGCTTCAATCGGATATCCCACCCTTTGCCTGCAGGACGGACCTCTTGGAGTCCGATACGCATCCTCCGTCACGGCCTTCACCCCCAGCATCCACGCATCCTCAACATGGGACAAGGACCTCATCCGCCAGCGTGCCCAGTTCCACGCCGAGGAAGCCAGAGCACTTGGTGTTCACGTCCTCCTCGGCCCCGTGGCGGGCGCCATCGGCAAGATCCCCGAGGGCGGCCGCAACTGGGAGGGATGGGGGTCGGACCCTTACCTCAACGGCCTCAACTCGGCCATCTCCATCAAGGCCATGCAGGCGGCGGGCGTCCAGGCCACGCTCAAGCACTACATCGCCAACGAGCAGGAGCTCAACCGCGACTCCATGTCCTCCAACGTCGACGACCGGACCATGCACGAGGTCTACCTGTGGCCGTACGCCGAGGCGGTCCACGCGGGCGTCGCGGCCGTCATGTGCAGCTACAACAGGCTCGACGGCACCTGGGCCTGCGAGAACGACCACTACCTCAACGGCCTGCTCAAGGAGGAGCTCGCGTTCCCGGGGTACATCATGACGGATTGGGGCGCCCAGCACTCGACCGTGGCGAGCGCCAACACCGGCCTGGACATGTCCATGCCCGGGTCTGCGTGGGCCGGCGACAACGTCTACTGGGGCGACAACCTCTCCCGCGCCATCCAGTCCGGCCAGGTGCCCGAGGCGCTCGTGGGCGACATGGCCACGCGCATCCTCGCGGCGTGGTACAAGACCGGCCAGGACGCCGGCTTCCCCTCCATCGACCTGACCCGCGACGTGAGGGGGGATCACGCGGCCAACGTCCGGGCGGTGGCGCGCGATGGCACCATCCTGCTCAGGAACGAGGGCGGGATCCTGCCACTCGCTGGGCCCCTGAGCATCGCCGTCGTGGGGTCGGGGGCCGTCAAGGGTGACCACGCCAACAACGCGTGCGAGGACAGGGCCTGCAACAACGGGGCCCTGGGGATGGGCTGGGGTTCTGGAACGGTAGAGTATCCGTATTTTATCGCGCCATACGATGCTATCAAGGAGCGGGCGGACGAGGAGGGCGCCGCCGTGACGCTAAGCGGGACCGACGAGCCAGATGCTGGGGCCAGAGCTGCTAGTGGCAAGGACGTCGCGCTAGTCTTTCTGACGAGCGATGCGGGAGAGGGGTATCTGACCGT